TTTCGGCAACGATGGAACCGCTCTAACTGCTCTGTTTAAAGGATATGAAATAAACACCACTGCTTCCGTCTCCAGCGTTGCACCTGTCTATATTTATCAAGAATTGGCTCAATTAAATCCTCACAAGTCCTGCAGCCCCGACGGAGTCTCACCCGCTGTTCTGAAAGAATGTGCTGCTTTCCTTCCCTTGTACTGAGTGAACTTTTCAATGATTGTCTTTTGCAGCAACGTATACCCGACTGCTGGGGAATAGCCTCTATCACCCCTGTACCGAAGAAATGATCCTCAAAATTCCGTCCCATTGCTTGCACCTCAGTTGTCTTGAAGGTGTTTGAGAGGCTCCTCCTTAAGACCCTGTCAACACAATTCAATGTTGTTCACCCGAACCAGTTTGCATACACCCATTCCCGTGGTACCCTGGATGCTCTTGCTTATCTGCCCCGCTATGTTTTATTCAACCTGGATAAGAAAAGCAAGGCTTTACGCATATGTTTTCTTGACTACAGTGATGCTTTCAACACAATTGATCGACAAATTTTGTTAAATACCCTCTCTTCTGGCGGAGTTCAACCTTCTACGATTGAACTCTTGGCCAACTATTTCTCCAACCGTCAGCAGTTCACACGCTACAAAGGTCATACATCTTTTCTGTTGCCCTCCTCAAAAGGCGTACTACAAGACGCTATTTTATCCCCTTTTCTATTTTCTGCTTACATTTTCTCTGTGCCTGTGAGCAATTCTTCTCTTCTCGTTAAGTATGCAGACGATATAATATTCGAACTGCTCTACCTCAGCTCATCATTTCAAACCACTCTACAAGAAGACGTGTCTGAAATAGTTGAGTGGTCTCAACAAAGGAACCTCCGCACGAACTCCGAAAAATGTGATGACGTATTTTTTTCTTTTTTGAAAGGGCAAAAGTATGACGAATTATCAAACGCCAGCCCACGTTTATCTATCCTCAGTGACCAGATGGAACGACAACCATCTGTCAAATACCTGGGCATTATTTTCAGTCATAACCTCACCTGGTTTGACCACATTAATGACGTTTTTCTGGATTTCAGGAGGCTCACGTTTTATGTTTTACGTCTTAAATCACTTTCCATTCCAAACCATCTCATAAGGCGTTTTGTTTTTGCGTGCGTTTTGCCTCACTGGTTTTATGGGTCCCTTGTTATCTTCCCTGGTCTTTTGAACAAGGACCTTAAACTCATTTCCCGATTCCTCAAATTTCTGTCAGTTTGCAGTCTCATACCATGGGAACATCTAATATATTATGTGGTGACACATCATATCAAATCCTGTAAAACATTCTCCAACAAGATTTTATCTGGTATTTCTCATACACTTTAGTCAGTGCCTTTCTTACTCATCCACCCGTTCCACATACAAACTTATAAAGACACGCACTGAAGCTTACAGACGGTCTATTGTCCCTTATCTCGACAGATTTATAACAAACCGTCAACTCGTCGCAGGAAATCTGCGCTAAACGCTAAACTAAATTCATCATAAACACCCGGGTATGCCATTGATTTTATTGTTGCTGTCCTTTTTCACGTCCTTTAATTGCTGTGCTATAATGTTGTTGTTTTTTTCCAGTTTTTGTTGACACACTATGGTTATGTGGTTGCAGGTGTAACATGAATCCAGTTCCAGTGTACAATGCGCACACGGGCACAGTCTACCTTCGATCCGTGCCTGCACGCGTTTATATTCGTGCCTTGACTGTAACACAAATTGATGTGTTCGGGGAACAGCCGAGTAGTTAACAGTCAATCCACAATGAATCAGAGATTCGTACACACTACATGGAAACAGGCGCTAAAGATTAATCATTTTTAACTCATCATCATCTGCAGTAATGAGACAGAAAATTCGACTTGGGCCATTTGACAATCAAACTATAGTGTGTACGAGAATTCCTGATGCACCTGTTTATATAACAATTAATGTTGTTTATTTATTGGAACTGACCTTCCTTCAAACTACGCACACAATCTTCATTTCATCCAGTCAATCATACACTCGGAATCACTACATACCCGAGTTTCATTCTTATTAGAGCTCATCGGTGATGTACATCCACCGTCCCGTCTGGGATTTTAACTCCAAACCCATCGGGTCTGGAAGTGTGCGTTACTACCACTGTGCCAACCAGCTCATGCCAAGGCTGAACCAAATGTTTAATTTATGTGTTCAGGTGTTGTCGTCTTCACACATAGTCAGTCAAATCATTGTTGACCCGATTGCAAAGAAGGGAGACAGTTCACTGTCTGTTAACTCTAATTGAAAGCCCCTCTCCCCGCCAAATCAGCTCTAATAGGAGTCGCTAGTGCTTCCACAGGTGTATGGTTGGCTGATAGGGTTGAGGGATGTGTGTGAAGATGAAGTCTGATCAGTTCCAATCCATCAAAATCAACAGTTTGAATATTCCCATGGGAGCATTGAGAAAACGAGTCGGTGGACAAACCACTGTTTTCGGATATGTCTAATCATGTTCTTACATATCACAGCGCGATAGAAATGCTTACAGAATGGAAGCCCTTGGCTCAATTAAAGGTCATTAATCGGAGTCCGGGGGAAGGGGTGTGTGTGTTTATTTGTTTGGAAACCAAAACAGAACATATCCCTGGACCCAAAAGAAGAAAGATCGCATCAACTGACACACAAAACGCTCACACACCATCTTCCTTCCGACTCCGATTGATGACCGTTAACTGAGCCATTGGCTGTCATTCTGTAAGCATTTTTCCACTACATGGTGTGTAAGAAAACGATTAGGCGTATCCTAAAACAGTGGTTTGTTCACCAACTCGTTTTCTCAATGCAATCAATATCAATTATCCCACGACACCACTCACACGTAATTGTGAGTTAAATGTAAATTATTAACCCAGCCCAGTAGGTTTGTGGCCAATCAGTCCGTAGCCTGCGTGGAAGACGTGATTTGTTGGGAGGCTTTCGATTGGAGTTAACAGACTATCAACTGGGTTGACCCTCGTTGTAGTCGGGACAAAATGAACTGACTGCCTATGACTGAAGACGATACCCGGAACAAACATGAATTAATGTTGTGTCACAATGATTTGTTCATTGTACAAATATGTCTCCCCTATTACGCGACTGATAAAATAAATGAGCCATATGGATTTAGGCATTTGGAGACTGGAAAAAAGACAATCCCATCACTACAAACACAGTGAAGCATCAATCGAAAGCAAAGCCACCCGTAGTTGTGTACGAAGGGTCAGATCCAGTTTTCCATCGTACCTGGATGGCAATGTATTGTACAGCTTACTCTAGGTTTTTCAATACCACGAACGTTTTGATGAAGCGTTAATGTCTCGAGCATGTTGTCTGTCTAATGAATGCAACCAATCGCGTAGTCTTCAAATTTCGATCGGGTCTTCTCGCCATCTTTGGAGTTTGTTATTGTCAGCTCATTGTTTGGTTTAGTGCCGATAAGGGTATCATTCAAGGTCAAGCCTGAGAATTGTGTGCACAGAACTCACTGCACTTGATAACCGCGTGCACGGGTTTAAAGTGGATCCATTCACCAAACCAAACTAAGATGTCGAATGAAATATTTTATCCGCCTTATGCATCAATACTCATTTTTCCTGGGTCGATTAGGTACGGGTTTATTGAATCGAAGGACAGTCGCGTTAGATGTGTGTGTGTGTGCGTGTATATACTTCATACTCGACAAGATACTTCTTTAGACAACAGTGATCTTAGTCAAAGTTATCGGGATTTGTTACCTTTGGAGAATTGTGTATGAAATCAGTTGTAAAATACTTAGAAGTTTCGCTCAGGTTCGAACTTATGCATAGTACCTTCTTTCATTTGAGCCACGAGATCATTTCCTTCGATCAGCCTATTTTCACATCGTATTACCCATTCGGGTTTTGAGATGTGAACAGACGGTCCGGATAGCAGAAGGGGGGATAGGGGAGAGGGGCGAGATTTCAAAGTCTCTGACGCTTCCCCAAGTAATTTCTTGAATATGGGGAACTCATCGATGACTTCCGGTACAAAGACAAAATGATAATCGATTATTTCCGAATAATTCACCACTACTCTGTCGGGCTGGATGCTACAAGTTGTAAATCGACCATTACAGGTGTTATCAGAGTGCCAGAGCGACTAAAGTAAGACATCCGGGATCAAATAGGCTTGTTTTTGGGCTTGGAACTCAAACCTGGAGTATGAATTCCCAACCCGAACATTCGAGGTTCGAGTCCTAACAGGGACAAAAAAGTACGCACTGCTGAAGAGTCCTAAACAAGACAAAACAGCTGTCCAGTGCCCTTTGTCGGTTATGACAAATATTTCCATCAACCTGGTGTCCTTCTTGATCTTCGTGCAGGGAAATCAACGATAGTGGGTCATGTCTCCTGAATGTCGGTTGGTGTTCACGGATCCTTGTTGACAGTTTTCTTCCAGTTTGTCCGATATAGTGTTTTGGGTAATTCTTGCTATTTATTTTGTAGATAACACTACTCTTGTCCTTCTCTCCTCTGGTTTGGGTCAAGCACAACACTGCCACTTCACAAGCACTGATGATGTCACCTCGGCTGGTGATGATGAAACGTTTGCAAACAAATTGCCCATTGCTCGGCGAACAGGCGAAATGGAATTCAATTCACTCGAACTACGAGAACCGATTTTCAATACTTTGTCAGCAGACTCTGGTCGACCAACGAGCTCACGGATATGTCAAATTAACTTTATCCAAACTCTTTCTAACTCTTCAATTAGGTTCGCGCGTTTTTTCTCATTTGATTTATCCAAAAATGTTTCCATCCGTGTGTATGATGACCGTTCAAATGAGCACAGTGTAATAATAATAATAATAATTTTATTTAATTAACAAAAGACACTCAATTAATTTAAGACAAGTTAAAGGGTGAAACTGCCAGCGGTTAAAAGCGGGCACTAACTACCAGAACACAGTTTGGACGGGAAATTTTTGGCGCCAATTTTGATCAGGTTCATAAAACACTGCCTATTCGGAACAGGTACATCAGAGATTCCAGACGACGACATAGTATCGGTTCTGTCGCGTTCTCACCCGCCTGGTCGATCACATTCACCCACTGCGCGTACACAATCTCGATAGTTGACTGCAGGTCGTTGAGCGGAATAAACGTGGAACAGGCAGGTAATGTGCTCAAATCGAGTATGGTGGAATTCTCAACAATGGGCAGTTCATTGACACCGAAAATTAAATAGATCGTTGCAGGGATGAATTCCGGTGCAGATGGGGAACTCTGCACAGTCGCATTCCAAACAATGTAGTCATATGGATCAATACGGACAATTTGCGCTGAGTAGCGGTTAGACGAGAGGACCGAGTTGATGTAGACCGCGAACAGATTGTTCGGAATGTTACAAAGCGAATCCAACATTAGATTCAGTAACCATGTTTTCACTTCCGGTGTTGCTTCTAATTGGGCAACAATTTGTGGAACTGGGACTGTCGTTGTGACCGGGGTGGTTGTAGTGGTTGTTGTTGTTGGTACTGTCGAAGTAGCAGTAACTGGCGGTGTTGTTGGAGCCTGGGTCGGTCTTGGTGTTTCCGGCCTGCACAAATCAAATGGAGATATCCAGCGATATACTCCGGACAGAAAATGATCAAACACATCAGGGCATCCGGAACGACATGCAGAGTAGCCGCTCACCTGATCGAGCGATTGAATAGTGATCAGTGCGAACCAAACAGCAACTAGCATCTTGCCATTGAACTTCATCTTAACTCAAAAATAGATGATTCACAGCTTTTTACTTTTTGTATGGAAAATCGGATCAGCAGTGAATTCACTTAGGTGATGGTACGAGTATCTGCTTTCGGTCTATGTGAGAGATATTACATATATATATATATAAATATATATACATATAACCTGACACAGCGATATCTGGTACAGAAACTCAGTTATTAGATAAGGTCGGTTCGATTGAATGCGGACGCACCAGGAATTGAATATCCGCTTGTGAGGTCATTTGATTGCGTGGACCTAATTAACCAACCAACACCTTTCCGAGGAATCATTTCCCCAAAAATGATCTGGGTGTAGAATTAACCAGGAAGAAATCGGCTTCCTTCTAAAAGCGGTATGAGTTGCAGCTCAAGTTCTCAAGGGTGAGAAAACCTAGGATTTGTGGACCACCAGCGGAAGAGTTGTACTGACTAGATATAAGCTAAAGCAACGAACTCTGGGCGGTGGAGGTGGGGTGGGGTGTAGTATTCTGAATGTTATCCAGAAAGTTGAAATAAACTGTCACTGATATTGTCCTTCTAGAAAGAATTATGGTGCTTCGCTCCAGATTGAAGCCAGATCGGTTGTTGTTGTCGTTCGACGAATCTCAATTTTTCCGCCTCATCTTCCCTGCACCAGAGCACAGGTCCAAACTTCGGTTCATGTCTGTTTGGCTGCGTGATGCGAGCAAAATAGATAGATACATGCTGACGTCTTTCGACCACACAGAAGAGGGGTTTTAGGAAATAACTCGTGAGAATAAGATTTAAATAGGTAAATCCCATATCCTGCCAGAGTAATCCTAAAAACAACGTGTACCAGACCAGCAAAACGTAACACGTTCGAGCAAGCGGGAACTTCCGTTCTCTTCGGCACTCATACACTGGGACGAAAACAACTTATTTCTCCACAGTTTTTTCCATTGGTTCTCGTAAAGAGTGTCTTTTTGTGAACTTTGGTTCTGAAAAATATATTTTATGGGAATCCAAGAATGAAGATATCGATGGACTAAACAGCAGGACTGGATCAAAAAAGTCATGAGATGAAACTATATGCGAAAAAGATGGTCCTGTAAATGAGCTATGAGCAGAAAAGCACTGAGAAACAGTCTGATCAGCTGCCCCAGAGTGGCCGAGTGGGTATTATGCTTGCGTTCGACCGGATTCCTGATCTCCACTTGGAGCTGATGAGATCGCCAACCAGATCGAAACAGATATCCAGGGCTTTTCAACTTTTTAGCTCACTTTCAGTCCACATGATTTGGTGCATTCACATCGGAAAACATATAGGTTATTCCTGAGTGTTTCTGCTGAAATTCGTGACACACCGTTATTCATACACTGGCCAGTTCAGTGAAAAATTCTTGATTTTATTTTAAAAAATCTATATTTTTTCAAATGTAAAAGGCTTAATACACAAAACACAACGAAAATAGGCCTGAAACGTTGCGAAAGCTACGTCTGGCATCATTATAAGGAGACATGTGGGCAGAATTGATACTGGCTTGTTCTGACTACCTTTTGAATTTATACTTACACACAATTTTAACTTCTTCCACTCAACCATACACTCGGGAAGCACTACAGACTCCAGTTTTGCTCTTATTACAGCTTATCAGTAGTGCATCAAATCCACCGTCCCACTGTCCGGGGTTTAACCTCAGACCCATCGGGCATGGAAGGCATGTGTGGTACCACTGTGCCAACCAGCTCATACCCAGACTGAAACGAATTGATTTCTAAGTTCATGTTTGTTCCGGATGTTGTCTTCAGTGATAGTCAGTCAGATCCCTGTTGGCCCAAAAGCAACGCAGGGAGACAGTTGACTATCCATTAACTCTGAAAACTGAAGACTGAAGACGACACCTGAACAATCATGAAGTGGTAATTCTGTTCGGCCTCGGCAAGAGCTGGTTGGCACAGAGGTAGCGGACACGCCATCCTTGCCCGATGAGTTCGGAATTCAAAGTCTGGAAGGGACCGTAGATATGCACTACTGATGAACTTTAATAAGAGCGAAACTCGAGTCTAGTGTTTCTGAGTGCGTGGTCCACTGGATTAACTGAGGATTATGCGCGAAGATGAAGTCCGAAGGATAGTCAGTTCAAATCAATATCGATTATTCCACACCACGGCTCACAAGTACCTGTGGGTTAAATTAGAATACCTATTGCCGATTAATTTCAGGTATGTTTATACAATCTTTTCAAAATAAAGAGATACAGGAGTTGAACTGAGTCACTGGAACAGGCCGGTGCACAAGAAAGTTGCTGCATTCGTCTATCGGCTCAAAATGCTAGTCCAATCACGTGACACGGCTGTCCATGACGGACACTGACTAAAACCCTTCCAATCCGTTTTGTCCGTGCGCCAGCTTGATCTAGTTTTAGGTCATCGTTTATTCGATTGATGTATTCTCACTTGATCGTTCATTGAACCCTTAATCTGACCCTGATCAGCACGCTCTCTTGTGTATCCTGATCTCTTGTGTTGCTCTGCAGGCCCCAAAAATACTGTTCATAGCGTCACGAATGGAATTCGGTCTTCACAGTTGCCTAATTGAGTTTGGTTTTGAGGTGAAATCAAGCCAAATGACAATATTGAATACTAGTTTACGGAAGTGATAGGTATAAAATAAGAGTGATGATGGGTGGATTCAGTTTAGACCCTCAATAGCCTAATGAGTAAATCCCATTGCGGCAGATGTTCCCTCGAATAACACCGATTCCTTTGAACGAAATGCAATTGCCTACATAGTTCTGGCATTGAAGGACATACTTGACAAGATACTTAACCAAGTAACAAGGACACAATGAAAGAATATGCAGTAATTCACTGGAATAACAAGATTAGGTTTGAACTCATTCACTACCTAACAGAAATTACATTTTTCTCTGTCATTGCCTGACTGACTATGCCAACGACAACCATCTATCACCTTCAACTTTTCCCTTTGTTACTTAGCTTCATCACATGTGTTCTTACCCCTATTCCATCATTTATCATCTGCGTCACATCTGTGCGATGCTTATAGTTCCGTGAGTGAGACATGCAATGATAAGAATTACTCATAGTTATCCGGGATCTCACAAAGGATGATAGCCTTGTACCCGGTGCTTCCCTGAGTATTAATCTGACGCATGTACAACATTGATCAAGCGGAAACGAAACCTAGTCCATTGTCTAGCCCACCGAGCAAGAATGATTTGTTCCAACGAAACATTGGCAAGTGAATCAGAGCAACTACAAGGCACTTTCCGACAGAACGGATACCCACA